TCTATTCTCCACCCTGCTGTCAGAGTAATGTTTCTAATGATCAGAAATCTGATCATGTCACTACCCTACTTAAAAGTATCTGATGATGGCCAGGTACAGTGGCTCGTGCCTATAATCCCAACACTTTGGGAGGCTGAGGCAGGTGGATCGCTTGAGCCCGGAGTTCGAGACTACCCTAAGCAACATGGCAAACTCTGTCTCAACAAAAAATACAAAAATGGCTGGGCTCAGTGGCTCACACCTGTAATCCCAGCACTTTGGGAGGTCAAGGTGGGCGGATCACCTCAGCTCTGAAGTTCGAGACTAGCCTGGCAACATGGCGAAACCCCATCTCTACTAAAAATACAAAAATAAGCTGGGCATGATGGTGCACACCTGTAGTCCCAGCTACTCGGGAGGCTGAGGCATGAGGCAAGAATCACATGGGCTGGGAGGTGGAGGCTTCAGTGAGCCGAGGTAACACCAGTGCACGCCTGCCTGGGTGGCAAAGGGAGACCGTGTCTCAAGAAAACAAGACAAAAACATAGCGGGCATGGTGCTGCACGCCTGTGACCCGAGTCACACAGGAGGTTGAGGTGGGAGGATTGCTTGAGCCTGGGAGGTTGAGGCTGCAGTAAGCTGAGACCATACCACTGCACTCCAGCCTGGGCAATAGAGTGAGACTCTGTCTCAAAAAAAAAAAAAAAAAATCTGATGGCTCTACATTGCTCTTAAGATAAAAGTCAAATAAATGTTGGCCTCCCCACATCTCTAGATTTATCTCAGGGCCCTCTTCCCTTTTCTCTGGGTTGCAACTACAGTGATATTTCTTACACATTGTTCTCCCTCCCTTCTGAGAACCCTTGTACATGCTGATCCCCCGCCTGCAATGCTCTCCCCACTTAGATAACTCTCAGCCTTGAGATCCCAATTCAAACAGGGCTACTCCAAGGATACTTTACCTGACCCATTCCCAGACAGGTTTTCTTAGCACAATGTGCTTGTCCTCAATAGAATGTACTAAGTCATTATTAGGTAATAATAATAATCTTTGCCACTACACTATGGACACAATAAGGAAGAAAACCTTATCCATCTTGTTTAACACTGTTTCGTCAGCACATAGCACAGCGCCTGGCACAGAGTAGGTGCTCAATAAGTATTTGCTGCGTTTGTGAATCCTAAGCATGATGCTAGGTACTGGGCCCAAGAGGGCAGAGAGGAGCAAAGAGAACCACAGGCAACCGCAACAGGGGGGCACCTTAGACCTTTGAGCCTATGAAATTAACACTAAAGAAATTTAAAATATCCTGGGAAAAAAAACTTTTCTGAAGCTTTTTATTTTAACTTCTAAAAACTGAAATATAATTTATACACAATAAAATGAAAAAATATTACATGTATATCTAATAATTGTTTTGCCTACATTCCTGTGTTACTAACATCTAGATCAAGTTATAGATCTATCAACCCAGAAAGTTCTCATTTGTTCTCTTTTATATGTTCCCTTCCAATAAATACCTGCTCCCCCAAATGTAACCATTATTCTGACTTCTAGCACCATAGATTAACTTTGACAGTTCTTGATCTCCATAGAAACAGAACCATACAGTTTGTACTTTTGTGTTAGCCTGGGAATCTGACATAGCCAAAGAATGATTTTTTGGATAAAGATACAATGAATGAATGACTTGATTAATTTACCTGAAAGATTGAATGAAAAGCTCTGGCTACTTCCTCCTGTAGATACAGAGGTCTTGACAACAGCCAGCCCAGAGGCTGAGAAGACCTCATTGACATACTTCCAAACCCACAAAGACTTCTAGAGGTAAGAAAGCTCTGGAAGATTCCAGAAACTCTGCAATAAGACTGGGTGCTACGGCTCACGCCTGTAATTCCAGCACTTTGGGAGGCCAAGGCAGGAGGATTGCTTGAGTCCAGGAGTTCGAGACCAGCCTAGGCAACACAGTAAGACTTCATCTCTACAAAAAATTAAAAATTTAGCTGGCCATGGTCGTGTGTGCCCGTAATCCCAACTATTCATGAGACTGAGGTGGAAGGATCACTTGAGCCTGGGAATTGGAGGCTACAGTGAGCCAAGATCATATCACTGCTCTCCAGCCTGGGTGACAGAGTAAGACCCTGTCTCAAAAAAAAAAAGGCAGGCCGGGCGCGGTGGCTCAAGCCTGTAATCCCAGCACTTTGGGAGGCCGAGACGGGCGGATCACGAGGTCAGGAGATCGAGACCATCCTGGCTAACACGGTGAAACCCCGTCTCTACTGAAAAAATACAAAAAAAACTAGCCGGGTGAGGTGGTGGGCGCCTGTAGTCCCAGCTACTCGGTAGGCTGAGGCAGGAGAATGGCGTAAACTCGGGAGGCGGAGCTTGCAGTGAGCTGAGATCCGGCCACTGCACTCCAGCCTGGGCGACAGAGCGAGACTCCCCCTCAAAAAAAAAAAAAAAAAAAAAAAAAAAGGCAAAAGACTTGAATAGACATTTCTTCAAAGAAGATATACAAATGACTAATAAGCACGCAAAAAGATGTTCAATCTCTGTAGTCATTAAAGAAATGCAAATCAAAACCATAATGAGATACCACTTCATACCCATTTTATTTATTTATTTATTTATTTATTTATTTATTTATTTATTGAGACAGAATCTCTGTCGCCCAGCCTGGAGTGCAGTGGTGTGATCTCAGCTCACTGCAACCTCCGCCTCCCAGGTTCAAGCAATTCTTGTGCCTCAGCCCCTGAAGTAGCTGGAATTACAGGCGTGCGCCACCATGGCCAGCTAATTTTTGTATTTTTAGTAGAGACAGAGTTTCGCCATGTTGCCCAGGCTGGTCTCAAATTCTCCTGAGCTCAGGCAATCTGCCTGCCTCGGCCTCCCAATGTGTTAGGATTACAGGCATGAGCCACGGCGCCCAGCCGTTGTTATTTTTTTAAAAGGCAAAAAGTAACAAGTTTTGGCAAGGATGTGGAGAAATTAGGACTTTTATGCATTGCTGGTGGGAATGTATTTTGTTTTTGTTTTTTGTTTTTCTTTGAGACAGAGTCTTGCTCTGTCATCCAGGCTGGAGTGCAGTGGTGCAATCTCAGCTCACTGCAACCTCTGCCTCCCGGGTTCAAGCAATTCTCATACCCCAGCCTCTAGAGTAGCTGGGATTACAGGCATGCGCCATCATGCCCAGTTAATCTTTGCATTTTTTGTAGAGATGAGGTTTCACGCTGTTGCCCAGGCTAGTCTCCAACTCCTGGGCTCAAGTGTTCCACCTGCCTTGGCCTCCCAAAATGCTGAGATTACAGGTGTGAGCCACCATGCCCAGATAGGAATGTAAATTGATGCAGCCATGGTGGAAAACAGTTTGGCATTTCCTCAAAAAGTTAAACATAGGCGCCCCCATAATCCCAGCTACTTGGGAGGCTAGGGCAGGAGGAGCACTTGAACCCAGGAGTTTGAGTCAAACCTGGGCAACATAGCAAGACCCAGTCTCAAGGAAAAAATAAATTAAACATAGGATTACCCTATGAGCCAGTAATTCCACTTCTGGATACTTATCCAAAATAAGTGAAATCACATTAGTACCACTGTACTCCAGCCTGGGTGACAGATGAGACCCTGTCTCAAAGTTTAAAAATAAATAAACAAGCCAGGTGCGGCAGCACATACCTGTGGTCCCAGCTACCCAGGAGGCTGAGGCGGGAGGATCAGTTGAGCCCTGGAGGTTGAGGCTGCAGTGAGCCATGTTTCCATTCCTGCATTCCAGCCTGGGTGATGGACCAAACCCCTGTTTCAAAATAAAATTTAAAAAATAAAAAAGAAGTGAAAGCAGAGTTTCAAAGAGATATTTGTGCACCCCTGTTCAAAGCAGCATTGTTCACAAGAACCAACATGTAGAAGCAACCCACATATCTATGGACAGTTAAATAGATAAGCAAAATGTGGTCTATACATACAATGGAACATCACTCAACCTTCATAAAGGAAGGAAATTCTGACACAACGTACAACATGGATGAACCCTGAAGACATTATGCTAAGTGAAATAAGTCAGTCACAAAAGGACAAATATTGTATGATTCCTCCTATATGAGGTTCCTAAAGTAGCCAAATTCGTAAAGACAGAAAGTAGAGTGGTTGCCAAGGGCTAGAGGGAGAGGGAATGGGAAGTTTGTGTCCAATGGGCACGAAGTTTCAGTAGGGAAAACAAAAAAGTTCTGGAGGTAGATGGTGGTGATGGTTGCATGTGAATATACTTAATGCCACCAAATTATAGACTTAAAAATGGTTAAAATGGCAAATTTTATGTTATATACATTTTACCATACACACATACACAAAAGATTCCAGAGCCACTATCCTAATTTTTTCACCTTGATGTCCATGTCCTTAAGCCAAGGGTCATGGGTATTCCTGGGATCTGCAAGAATGCAAGATGCTGAGAAGACAGGGGCCCACTGGGCACCTGCGGATCCTGTAGGTAAAAATAGTAGGAGCCTAGGCAACACAAATACTTGTTGCCTGCAGGCAGGCAGCAAAGGAACAAAAACAGGCCATGAACTAGCAGATAGTATAGCATAATGATTACAATATTGGGCTCTGAAGCCGAAACACTCAAGTTCAGATTCTAGCTCTGCCATTTATTAGCTGTGTGATCTTGGGCAAATGCAACTTCTATGTTATACAGATAAAGAAGCTGCAACCAGGAGGAGATAAATGACTTGTCTAACAGGGTCCAAAGTATTTTCTCCTTTATATTGTTTAAAAATCTTTACATGGCTTTGTTTCGTTTTGTGTCCCCAGTAGACTGTAAGCTCCCCAAGGAAGCTATGTTTGTAATAGCATCACTTGAAATGCAACTTCTTTGTGCTTCAGTTGCCTCACCTATGGGATGCAGAGAATAAGGGCTCCTACCCCATAAGGTTGTCAAGCATATTAATGAATTTATACCTAGAAATGTTTAGGAGAAACCTTAGTGCATATGATAGTCTCAACAAGCAATAGATTGAGAGAGGCTTCTGAAGAGGTGATCAGGCTATTTCATAAAATGTTTTGAGCAAGAAAAACAGTCCTAAAACATCCAGGATTGTTCTAGATTTGGACTAGAGTGAAGAAAATCAATTGTTCTTTGATAATTTGATTTGTATTTATTGGACTTCTACTTTCATGTATGTCTAAATAGGCTTAAGCTTTGCAGTGATAAGACTGACAGTGAATACTTCAATGATGTGTTTAAGAAAAACAGTAACAAAACAGGGGAAAAAAAGAACAAAACCACCTAGAAAGTGTCTACATTTTACTGTCTGCAGGGTTCGTCACAACAGTGCCAAATCACAGACTTAACACATTTAGTTGGATGAATTTTGCCCTGAAGAAGGATTTCACTTTTTTTTTTACAGTTTATTTATTCATCTACCTTCTCCTCTTCCTCCTCCTCTTCTTCATCTTCCTCTTCCATCTTTTCCCAGGCAACTTTAGCAGGACCTTTTGCGCCATCCAATTTTCCTTTCGACTTATAGTCAGCAACATCCTTCTCATACTTCATCAGTTTTGCCACCTTAGTGACATAAGGCTGCTTTTCACTGTCATTTAAGTTCTTCCACATCTCACCCAGTTTTTTTGCCACATCTCCAATAGAGATGACGGGGTTTGTGGATTTCATCTTGGGGTGGAATTCTGAACAGAACAGGAAGAATCCAGACAGTGGCCTTTTGGGGGCATTAGGATCGTTCTTCTTGCCTCCCTTAGCTGGTCCATAATCCTTCCTTTCTGTATCATTGTGCACTTTATCTGCCTTTGCCATTTAATCGAATTTAGACTTCTCTCTCTTCTTTTTTTTTTTTTTTCTGAGATGGAGTTTTGCTCTTGTTGCCCAGGCTGAAGTGCAATGGCACAATCTCAGCTCACTGCAACCTCTGCCTCTTGGGTTCAAGCCATTCTTCTGCCTCAGCCTCCCCAGCAGCTGGGATTACAGGCACCCACCAACACGTCCAGCTAATTTTTTGCATTTTTAGTAGAGACGGGGTTTCACCATGTTGGCCAGGCTGGTCTCAAACTCCTTACCTCAGGTGATCCACCCGCCTCACCCTCCCAAAGTGCTGAGATTACAGGCATAAGCTGCTGTGCCTGGCCTAGACTTCTCTTTCCCAGACATTGTCTTCCACCTCTTAGAGCACTTTTTGGAAAATTCTGCAAAATTGACAGGGACCTCTGGGTTTTTCTTATGTTCTTCTCTGCACATCTGTACAAAGAAGGCAAAAGCAGACATCTTGCCTCTTGGTTTCCTGGGGTTACTATTAGCCATCCTGACTGTATTGTTCACTAGTCTTGAAGGATATCACTTTTAAGTGGACACCATTCACATGATATTGTAATTTGTAAATTTATTATGATAATTTACCAGTAGATGGCAGTAAAATGCCTTGTTATTACAGAATCCGTTCATTGTAACAATTTTCAGACATATGGAAATAAAATGCCTTGAGAAGGGGGTCACTTCTACTTTGCATAAAGACATACTATGGCGAGGCACAGTGGCTCATGCTGTGAACCCAGCACTTTGGGAGGTGGAGGTAGGTGAATTGCATGAGTCCAGGAATTAAGAGACCAGCCAGGGCAACATGGCGAAACCCCATCTCTACAAAAAAATACAAAAATTAGCCAATCGTGGTGGTGCATCATGCCTGTAGCCCCAGCTCCATGTGAGGCTGAGATGGGAGGATCACTTGAGCCCGGGAAGCAGAGGTTGCAGTGAGCCAAGATCGCACCACTGCACTCCAGCCTGGATGACAGAGTGAGACTCCATCTCAAAAAAAAAAAAAAAGAAAAAAGAAAAAAGAAAAAAAAAAAGTAGGGGGCTTACTATGGGCAAGCCATGGCTTGCTCTTCAGGAAAAAAAAATATTGAAAAAATAGAAGAAATAGAGTAATTATTACACAATTTTAAAAAATGGAAGAATATCAAGTGACCACATACACACACACAAAGGTGGGGGTGGGGGAGAAAAAAAATCTGTTTCCAAAAATATTCTGAAATTGTAAAGCTTTTTATTAGAGTATAATATAAAGACATAAAAGTACAGAAATCATAAGTATAAAGCCTGATGAATTTCCACAAAGCCAACATACATGTCTAACAAACACTGAAATCAAGAAATAGAACATTTAGCCCCAAAGAAGCCCCTTCTAGTCATTACCCACAGCCTCCAAGGGTAAACAGTATTTTGACTTCTAACTCCATAGATTAGTCTCACCAGGAGTTAAACTTATAGATTCATCTACATTGTTGCATGTAGTTGCAGCATGTTCATTTTCATTGCTGGGTAGCATCTCATTATTTATTTTTTATTTTTTTGAGACAGAGTCTTGCTCTGTCACCCAGGCTGGAGTGCAGTGTTGCAACCACAGGTCACTGCAGCCTTAACCTCTCAGGCTCGAGTAATCTTTCTGCCTCAGCCTCCCTAGTAGCTAGGACCACAGGTGCATGCCACCACACCACGCTAATTTTTGTATTTTTTGTAGAGACGGGGTTTCACCATGTTGCCCAGCTTGGTCTCAAACTCCTGGGCTCAAGTGATCCTCCCACCTCTGCCACCCAGAGTGCTGGGATTACAGATGTGAGCCACCACACCTGGCCAGCATTTTATTGTTTGAATACACCATAATTTATCCATTCTACTGTTAATGGGCATGTGGGTTTCCACTTAGGAGCTATTTTATTTTATCTTATTTTATTTTATTTTTTAGAGATGGAGTCTTGCTCTGTCGCCCAGGCTGGAGTGCAATAGTGCGATCTCGGCTTACTGCAACTTTTGCCTCCTGGGTTCAGGCAATTCTCTGACCTCAGCCTCCCGTGTAGCTAGGACTACAGGTGTATGCCACCACGCCCGGTTAATTTCTTTTGTATTTTTTAGTAGAGACAAGGTTTCACTGTGTTGCCCAGGCTGGTCTTGAACTCCTGAGCTCAGGCAATCCGCGTGCCTTGGCCTCCCAAAGTGGTAGGATTACAGGCATCAGCCACCACACCTAGCCGGAGCTTTTTTGTTTTGTTTTTCTTTTTTTTGAGATGGGAGTTTTGCTCTTGTTGCCCAGGCTGGAGTGCAATGGTGTGATCTCAGCTCATTGCAACCTCCACCTCCTGGGTTCAAACAATTCTCCTACCTTAGCCTCCCGAGTAGGTGGGATCACAGGCACCTGCCACCGCGCCTGGCTAATTTTTTGTATTTTTAGTAGAGATGGGATTTCTCCATGGTGGTCAGGCTGGGCTCAAACTCCCAACCCCAGGTGATCCGCCCACCTTGGCCTCCCAAAGTGCTGGGATTACAGGCTTGAGCCACCGCGCCCGGCCGATCCTATGTCTTTTTAAAAACAGCTTTATTGACAGGCTGGGCGCGGCGACTCACGCCTGTAATCCAAGCACCTTTGCAGTCTGAGGCGGGTGGATCACCTGAGGTCAGGATTCAGACCAGCCTGGCCAACATGGTGAAACCCCATCTCTACTAAAAATACAAAGATTAGCTGGGCATGGTGGTGGGTGCCTGTGATCCCAGCTACTCAGGAGATTGAGGCAGGAGAATTACTTGAACCTGGGAGGTGGAGGTTGCAGTTAGCTGAGATCCCGCCATTCCACTCCAGCCTGGGTGACAAGAGTGAAACTCTGTCTCAAAACAAAAAACAAAACAAACACCAATTTTCCCGAACAAAACAAAAAAACAACTTTATTGAAATATAATTGACATACCATACAATTTACTCATTTAAAGTGTGTAATTCAGCCGGGTGTGTGGCTGAAGCCTGTGATCCCGAAGGCTGAGTCAGTCAGATCGCATATGTCCAGGAGTTCAAGACCAGCCTGGGTGACATGGTGAAACACCATTTCTACCAAAAATACAAAAATTAGCTGAATGTGGTGGTGTATGCCTGCAGTCCCAGCTATTGTGGAGACTGAGGTGGGAGGATCGCTTGAGCCCAGGAGGCGGAGTTTGCAGTGAGCTGAGATTATGCTACTATACTCCAGCCTGGGCGACAAAGCCAGACCCTGTCTCAAAAAAAAAAAAAAAAAAAAAAAAGTGTAATTCTATGGTATTTAGTATAGTCACAGATATGTGCAACCGTCACCAGAGTCAATTTTAGAACATTTTCATTGCCTCAGAAGAAACTCCATACTCTTTAGATATCTCCCTCTCCCCAACTCCCCCATTCCCTCAGCCCTAAGGAATCACCAGTTGACTTTCTGTCTCTATCAGTTTGCCTATTATGGATATTTCATATAAATGGAATCATATGTAACCTTTTACCTTCTCTCACTTGGCACAATGTTTTCAAGGTTCATCCATATTGTAGCATGTATCAGTATCACTACTTCATTCTTTTTCATAGCTGAATAATATAATATGTATTATCGTATGAATATACCACATTTTGTTATCTTTTTGTCCATTGATGGACATTTGGGTTGTTTTTTACCTTTTGGGATTGTGAATAGTGCTGCTATGAACATTCATGTACACGTTTTTCTTTCAACATCTGTTTTCAGTGATTTGGGGTTTATGCCTGGGAATGGTGTTGCTGGGTCATTTGGTAATTTGGTTTGTCTTATTAAAGAAATGCCAAACTGTTTTCCATAGCTGCTGTACCATTTTACATTTCTACCAATAATGTATGAAGACTCTAGTTTTTCACATCCTGAGCAACACTTGTTATTTCCTTTTTCAAAAATTATTGTTGTAGGGGCACAGTGGCTCACACCTGTAATCCCAGCACTTTGGGTGGCTGAGGCAGGAGGACTGCTTGAGGCCAGGAGTTTGAGACCAGCCAGAGCCACACAGTAAGACTTCATCTCTATTTAAATAAAAGATAAAAAAATTTTAATAAATAAAAAATAAAAATAATATTTATGGCCAGTCTAATTGTTGTGAAGTGGTATCTCATGGTGATTTTGACCTGTTTTAATCTACATTTCCTTAGTGATTATGATATTCAGTATCTTATCATAGACTTATCTTTGAAGAAATGTCTGTTGAAACCCAGGCACAGTGGCTCACACCTGTAATCCCAGCATTTTGGGAGGCCAAGATGGGAGGATTGCTTGAGTCCAGGAGTTTGAGACCAGGCTGGGCAACATGGCAAAACCCCATCTCTACAAAAAATGCAAAAATTATCTGGGCGTGGTGACATGTACCTGTAGTCCCAGCTACAAAAGGCACTGAGGTGGGAGAATCTCTTGAGCCCGAGAGGTGCAGGTAGCAGTGAGCCAAGATGGTGCCAGTGCACTCTATCCTGGGTGACAGAGTGAGACTCTGTCTCAGAAAAAAAAAAAAGAAGTGTCTTTTTTGTTTTGTTTTGTTTTGAGGGAGGGCTTCACTCCTATCACTCAGGCTGGAGTACAATAGCACGATCTCAATTCACTGCAGCCTTGATCTCCTGGGTTCAAGGGATCTTCCTGCCTCAGCCTCCCGAGTAGCTGGGACTACAGGCACGTGCCACTGCACCCAGCTAATTTTTTATATTTTTGGTATATACGGGGTTTCACTATTTTGCCTAGGCTGGTCTTGAACTCCTGGACTTAAGCGATCTGCCCACCTTGGCCTCCCAAAGTATTGGGATCACAGGCATGAGCCACTGTGCCCTGCCAAGAAATGTCTATTGAAGTCCTTTGCCCATATTTTAATTGAGTTATTTGTCTTTATGTTGTTGAACTCTAAGTGTTTTTAATATATTCTGGGTACTATATAAAGTACTCAGATCAGATATAAGATGGCAAATATTTTTCACATTTTTGGACTGTCTTTTCACTCAATATTGTCCTTTTATGTACAAAACCTTTTAATTTCGATGAAGTCTAATTATCTATGTTTGCTTTTGTCACTGTGCTTTCGGTGCCATATCTAAGAAACCATTGCCAAATCCAAGGTATGAGGATTTACCCCTATGTTTCCTTCTAAGAGTTTTATAGTTTTAACTCTTATATTTGGGTCTTTGATCCATTTTGAGTTTTTTGTATGTGGTGTGAGGTAAGGTTCAAACTTCATTTCATGTATGTGAGTATGTTAAAGAGACTATTCCTTCTTCATTGAATGATCTTGGCATGCTAGTTGAGATCAATTGGCCGTAGATATATTGATTTATTTCTGGATTATCAATTATGTTCCATTGATGTGTTTATCCTTATACCTACCACACTGTTTTGATTACTTTGTAGTAAGTTTTGAAATCCGGAAATGTGTGTTCTCCAACATTGTTCTTTTTCAAGATTGTTTTGGCTATTCTGAGTCCCTTACAATTAATTCCATATGAATTTTAGGATCATCCATATTCATTTCTGCAAAAAAGTGCTGCTGGAATTTCGATATAGATTGCGTTGAATTTGTAGATCAATTGGGAAGTATTGGCATCTTAACAAAATTGAATCTTTCGATTCATAAACACAGAATGTCTTTACATTTATTTAGTTCTCCTTTCATTTCTTTCAACAATGTTTTGTAGTTTTAAGTTTTATATTTCTTTTATAAAATCTATTCCTAAATATTTTATTCTTTTTGATGTTTCAGTAAGTGGAATTTTCTTTCTTTTTTCTTTTTCTTTTTTTGTTTAAGGGTCTTACTCTAATGCCCAGGCTAGAG